TTTGGTAAAATCTTTACCCAATAAGATATTCCTGCTAGAAAGACTCTTTAGCCTTTAAGATTGACCTGTCTAAAGATTTAGATAATAATCTTGATACCTTTAATAAATTAGTACAAGATATCACTAATTCTGGTGACAAAGTGTTTGAAGAATACAAAGCTGTGATCCTCTTGAACTCCATACCTGATGTTTATAAAGATGTCAAAAATGCTATTAAGTATGATAGGGAGACTTTAACCCTAGAAATAGTAGTCAATGCCTTAAGGAGTAAGGAATTGGAGGTTAAAGTTGAGAGACAAGGTAGGGATAGTTAAAATTTGTTTGTCAGAGGTAGAACACTTACTAGGCAAGGAAATTGTCAAGATAGTCAAAGTAATCAAGGGAATAATATCTTTAAGAAGAAGGAGAAAGGGAGGCCTAGGTCAAAGTCTAGAAATGGAAATATAAAGTGTTATGGGTGTGGTAAAACTGGACATTACATCAAAGACTATTTCAAGAAAAAGAATGAACAGAGGGAAGGCAAAGTAGATGAAGGGAATGATGTTGAACCTTTAGGTGAAGGACCTGTGGATGTCTATGTAGTGACTGACCCTACATCTGATCTGAATACTGCAAATTTTGCATATAACAATGATCAGACAGTTGAGTGGATATTAGATTCAGGTTGTACTTTTCATATGACCTCTAAAAGAACATGGTTAGAAGACTTTAAAGACCTTGAAGGGGGAAAGGTGGTCATGGGTAATAATGTGGCCTGCAAGGTTAAAGGGATAGGCAGTGTGACTTTAAGATTTGAAAATTGATATACCTTTACCTTAGAAAAGGTAAGGTATGTCCCTGACTTAAACAAAAAATTTGATTTCCATGGGTAATCTAGATGACATAGGCCTGCAAGGCAGGTTTGGAGATGGTCATCTGAAAATAATTAAGGGTTCCTTAATTATCTTCAGAGGCATAAAAAGAACTGAAACATATGTCACTAGGGCCAGTAACTTAAGTCACATTGCAGAATCCTCTAATATAGAAAGTGATGCAACTCTGAAATGGCACAATAAATTACCCCATGTAAGTGAGAAAGGCCTGCATATCATAAGTAAGAAAGGGGTTTTTGGTAGAGACATCATTTCTAAAGTTCCCTTCTGTGAATGCTATACCTTAGGTAAACAGCATAGATTGCATTTTAATACTGGGAAACACAGCACTTCATCTATTCTTGAGTACATCCATTCTGATTTGTGGGGGCCCATCATCTATTCCCTCTCAAGAGGGAACTAGATATTTTTTGTCCTTAATTGATGATTTCTCAAGAAAAGTGTGGGTTTTTCTTTTAAAGCAAAAATCAAATACCTTTGAAAAATTTAAAGCTTGGAATATTTTAATTGAAAATCAAATGAGTAAAAAGATTAAAATTTTAAGGACAGATAATGGCTAAGAATTTTGTAATTCTGATTTTGACAAATTGTATGAAACTGATGGTATTTTAAGGCATAAAACAGTACCTCATATCCCCCACAATAGAACGGAGTAGCTAAGAGAATGAATAAAACAATTTTAGAAAAGGTAAGGTGCATGATGATTAGCTCAAGTGTCCCAAAAGTATTGTGGGGAGAGGCTGTTGCGACAGCTGTATCTATCATAAACAGGACCTCATCTCGTGCCTTAGATGGAAAAACACCTGAGGAGATGTGGACAGGAAGATTACCAAATTATATCCCCTTAAGGACCTTTGGTTGTGCGGCATATTCCCATCAAAATGTGGGAAAATTAGAGCCTAGATCCCAGAAATGTGTTCTCATAGGTTATCCTGAAGGAGTGAAAGGATACAAGCTTTGGGTGAAAGAAAATAATGGCTTCAGGATGTTGACAAGTAGAAATGTGACTTTTAATGAATCTGATATGCCCTGCCTTAGTAAAAGAAATCCCACAGAAGTTCATGAAAATGAAGATGATGAAGCTAATAGGCTGCATGTTGAACATCACATGACCCCTGAATACATAGAGGGTCAAGGTGAATCTGAAGGGGTTGATGTGTCTGATT